CAGTGATCAGTGCAAAAAAAAAAAAAAACTGACACTGTACTAATGGCAATGGGGAGGAAGGGGTTAACTTTATTTTGCAGGGAAGGGTTATAGGAGTGAGGGGAGTGTTTTACTAGGGGGCGGGGGGGGGGTGTGTGCTGGACGGGACAAGGCTGATCCAGAAAGAGAAACTCTTCTTTCTCGATCAGCTCATCCTCGAGTTGACAGGGAAGTGACAGACAGCACAGCTACTGCAGCTGTGCTGTCTGTCACTGTTTGCTGCCGATCGCCGGAACATAGCCGCTAACGAGCGGCTGTGACCCGGCGACTGACATCTGCGGCGGTGATCCGCGGGACAAATAGGAGGGCGGCGGCGCGCCTCGCACGCCCCCTATTTGTTTACAAAAACACACGTCTTAAAACGTGGTTTTGCCTGTGAGTGCCACCCTGCTGCTGTATATGTACAGTGGCTGGGCGGCATGCGGTTAAAGGCCTCATTGGCACTGCAGCGCCTAAACGTTAGTTTAGGAGCTTTTGGCATTTTTTTGCCAAAGCCCCTGACCTCAACTCAATAAAAGTCAAGTGTCCATGTACACATAGGCTTTTACCAGAGTTTAGGAGGAGCAGAGTTCAGGGGCAGTTAAATGTTCCACTCCTGAATGTAGAAGAAGGCCAAAAAAACGCATGTAAACGCATCTAAATGCTAGCCACGTTAGAGCTTGGACATTTACTCATGTCAATAGAATATACTCTGGCCAATCAAATGAATAAATGTGCAAGCGTCATACGCGGCTAAGCGCGGTACTGAGTTTACATGCGTTTTTGTCGCATTTGGTGGTTTTCTGCTGCCAGAAGAGTTAAAACGTCTAGGGGAGTTCATGTGTACATGAGGCCTGAAGATCACTTTCAAGAAATGAGACACTTCGCTTTACGTTAATAGTGAATTAAAATAGACATTGCAAATGTCATAAGGTCAGAAGAGTCGCACGATTCTGAGCTGTCAACTGATATCTCATCCTCCAGCATGTGTGGGCTTAGAGGAGGACAGGCTTTGCTAGGTTTGTATTTATTTCCTTTCAATAAGGGTGGAAAGAGGTTAACACTATTGCTGTTTTTTTACTGATGTCTACGTTCCCTACAGGAATACTGAGGCAGCAACAAAACTTCAAAGAAGTTTCAGCGTTAACCTACTCCACCTAAGATCTTAAGGTGGAACTAAACCCTCCTATTCTTTACAGCCAAGGAAGCGGCCATCTTAGCCTCTGTTTAATTTGCAACTGCCATGATGCTGTGCATATGATCAGTTATGACCCCAGCCATTTGATGCATTGACAGTTTGGTTGAGAGCCCAAGCTACTGTGACAGTTAGCATTCAGGGCATGCATGGAATGTAACTGTTTTGGAAAACAGTTCAATTGATACTGAAGGTTTAGTTCCACATTGGTGACTAAGGGTAAAACAGATGTTAATGGCTAAGCACAATTTTGCAACTTTAACATGTGTTAGTAAAACCGTACACACACTATATTGCCAAAAGTATTGGGACGCCTGCCTTTACACGCACATGAACTTTAATGGCATTTCAGTCTTAGTCCATAGGGTTCAATATTGAGTTGGCCCACCCTTTGCAGCTATAACAGCTTCAACTCTTCTGGGAAGGCTGACCACAAGATTTAGGAGGGTATCTATGGGAATGTTTGACCATTCTTCCAGAAGTGCATTTGTGAGGTCAGGCACTGATGTCGTACGAGAAGGCCTGGCTCGCAGTCTCTGCTCCAATTCAACCCAAAGGTGTCCTATTAGGTTGAGGTCAGGACTCTGTGCAGGCCAGTCAAGTTCCTCCACCCCAAAATCGCTCATCCATATCTTTATGGACCTTGCTTTGTGCACTGGTGCACAGTCATGTTGGAACAGGAAGGGGCCATCTCCAAACTGTTCCCACAAAATTGGGAGCATGAAATTGTCCAAAATGTCTTCGTATGCCAATGCCTTAAGAGTTCCCTTCACTGGAACTAAGGGGCCAAGCCCAACCCCTGAAAAACAACCCCACACCATAATCCCCCCTCCACCAAACTTTACACAATGCAGTCAGGCAAGTACCATTCTCCTGGCAACCGCCAAACCCAGACACGCCTATCGGATTGCCAGACAGAGAAGCATGATTTATCACTCCAGAGAACATGTCTCCACTGCTCTAGAGTCCAGTGGCGGCATGCTTTACACCACTGCATCTGACGTTTTGCATTGCACTTGGTGATGTAAGGCTTGGATGCAGCTGCTCGGCCATGAAAACCCATTCCATGAAGCTCTCTACACACTGCTGTTGAGCTAATCTGAAGGCCACACAAAGTTTGGAGGTCTTTAGCTATTGACTCTGCAGACAGTTGGTGACTTCTGCGCACTGTGCGCTTCAGCATGTACTTACCCCGCTCTGTCATTTTACGTGGCCTACCACTTCATGGATGAGTTGCTGTTGCTCCCAGTTGCTTCCACTTTGTTATAATACCACTAACAGTTGACCGTTGAATATTTAGTAGCAAGGAAATATCACAGATGGATTATTGCACAGGTGGCAACCTATCACGGTACCACGCTTGAATTCATTGAGCTCCTGAGAGCGACCCATTCTTTCACAAATGTTTGTAGAAGCAGTCTGCATGCCTAGGTGCTTGATTTTATACACCTGTGTCCATGGAGGTGATTGGAACATCTGAATCCAATGATTTGGAGGGCTGGCCCAATACTTTTGGCAATATAGTGTATCATTACAACTACTTTGTGTATCCAGGTGAATTATACCTTGTTTTCTTCAAGACAAATTAGTATTTCATTTGGTGGTAAATGGTAATGGATTTATCTTGATTTTTTTTATCATCATAGGAAAACTGGCCCAATAGTAATATAAATCTTTTTAATTCAGCTGTATATTTCTTCCTACTACCATAACCTACCACCAAAAGAAGAACCACAATAAATTCTTCTGCTCCTGACAATTGCAGCGATATCACATACGTGTATGTTAGTTGTTGTATGTACCCATAGTACAGCCCAGAAACGATAGTGTGCTCATTTGTAATCCTACCTAACACACTGACACTAACTGACACTGATACTGACACTGATACTAACAGAAAAAATGTTTGTTTTTTAATCCTGCCCAAAATATACTGACTATGATCTTTGACCCTGACCTTGATCTTTATTACTAACCCTGGCACTGACCTTGATGAAACCTTGATCTCAGTTTTTTCTTTTTTTTATTATTATTACAAGTTTTTTTTACAGGTTGCACCTGAAGTTGCACAAATGTCAGGCACGTAGCACCTAAAATTGCACCAACCTGTGGCTTTGAAATCGCGCTACTTCAAGTGAAGTAGCGCGATTTCAAAGTCGCATTCAGTATGAAATAGGGCGCAAAGTGGCATCAAAGTCAATACTTTCCTATTGAAAAAAAAAAACACAAATCGCATCAACAACACACTACATGCATTTCTGCCTTGTGTCCACTGAAGTCTAATGAATCAAAAATGCACCGTGTTGCATTTAAAAAAAACGCCCCTAAGCATGGGTTCACACTGATGTGGTGTGGCACATCGCATGTGATTCGCACAGGAACCTCACCGCATTACTGTACAAATCACATGCGATTTCTGTGCGGTGCAATTTGAGCCATACATTTTGTACGACTCAAATCGCACCACATCCGCACCAAAAAAGTGCAGGACCCTGTTTTAGTCCGTACCAGAATCGGATCTCATGGGTGTTCACACCCATGCGATCCAATTCTGCACATTGCACCAAGCTTTGCAAACTGATTTTGGGGTGTTGTTAAGTTAAAATACACACCCTGAGTGGTTCATATGAACGGGGTGCGATTATGATGTGGTGCGGAAATCGCACAGAACCCAGGCTAATGCTTTCCAAAAAGGCAGTCACTGAAAAATGCACAGATGTGAACGTGTTTCATAGGAAACCATGTTAAACGGATAGTAGTGCGTTTCTGCAAAAAGTACATATAGGTGTGAACAGCCTTTAGGCTCCATGTACACGGGACGTTTGGAAAACACTTCTGAGCGATGGAAACTGACTGCTGGAAAACGTAGGTTAAAAAATGTCTGTTTAGCCGCGTTTGATGTGCGTTTGTTTTTAGAAGTGTTTTTTTAAAGATAACCTTAGGAGACCTTCCCAAATGCCCAGAATGCACTGAAAAACAGTAAAATATTTACTATTTCAGACATTTTGAGAGAAATAGAGAGAGCAGAAGCAGAGAGAGCAGTATGTGTTGAGATGACCTGTCTTTTCTGGTTGTATTCACTATGGATCCCATCATGAGCATAATACGGCACGTTCTACCATTTTTTCCTTCACACAAAACCTGAAACTGACTGCGCTGGTATACCGGGTCCATTTGAATACATGGAAACACTTTGCATGCTTTTCTGATGATGAAAAAAGTCTCTGGACAGCATCTGGACATGGAACAGTTAAAAAAACACTTCTAAACGCAAACAAACATAAACGCAGTTAGCCACGTTTACACGCATTTCCATGTGTTTGCTGTTTGAAATGCTGGTAAAATCTACTCCAGAATGCAAGTTTTCTGCGTTCAAAAAAATGATTGTAAACTCAACTACCTGTAAAGGACATAGTGTACATGGACACATAGGAAAACATTAGGGAGAGTTCAGGGGCTGCTGGAAAAAAAACGCTCCTGAACATCAGTTTATCAGCTGCAGTGTCCATGGAGCCTAATTAGCATGAATGAGAAGTGGGTGGGACAGAACACATGCGGAGATGACGTGCAGTTTTTACGCTCCATGGCTAGGGGGCAGCACTCCGCCCACACCTCCTCAGAGTACTACTAAGCAGCTGGGCAGAGCGCACTGACAGGTCACATGTCCCGGCGGTACGGAAGGCTCGTAGGCATGCGCAGTGTCCTCAGCGGCAGCCGGAAGTAGGAGAGCTGTGTGTCTCGGAGTGCAGACAGTGCCGTACACATAGCGGCTCCGGGTTCCTCCATCATGCAGGACCCGGCGGAGGCTTCATCGTCCCGGGAAGAGGAGGAAGAAGAGGACGCGGTGGGGGAGAATGAAGGCGGCCAGTACACGGAGGTCCCGCTCGTCTATTACACTATGATGGCTGCTGATGATGATGGCGCCGACCTGCTGGACACCTCCGACCCCAGGGACAGCACGGCCAGTCCCGAGGAGCTGGAGGACGACGACAACTCAGGGGACAATGACAGTGTGGTGACCAAGACGTGTACCTACCCGGGCTGCCAGGAGACCACCAGCCAGGTGGCCAAACAGAGGAAACCCTGGATGTGTAAGAAACATCGCAACAAGATGTACAAAGACAAGTACAAGAACAAGAAGAAGAGCGACCAGGGGGTCACCACCGCCAGCAAGCTGGAGGTCAGGGGGAGGGGCTGATGACGTCACCACAGAAAGCCCAGCACTGCCATCACGCTGCATCATACATACCCAGAGTGACCTGTCCTGGTTGGGGAACTACAACTCCCAGCAATGACCAGGGGAGCAAATCCACCAACAGGCTGGCGATAGGTCAGGATTAGAATTTGCTGCCAGGGCAGGTCTTGTGATCACACCAGAAAGCCTAGAATTGGCTCCACACTCTACATCATATATACACAGAGTGACCTGTCCTGGTTTGGGGAACTACAACTCCCAGCAATGACCAGGGGAGCAAATCCACCAACAGGCTGGTGATAGGTCAGGATTAGCATTTGCTGCCAGGGCAGGTCTTGTGATCACACCAGAAAGCCTAGAATTGGCTCCACACTCCACATTATATATACACAGTGACCTGTCCTTGTTGAGGAACTACAACTCCCAGCAATGACCAGGGGAGAAAATCCATAAGCCAGATGGAGGTCTAACATCTGGCATTAAGTCAGGCTTGGGGCTTATGACTATTCCAGAAAGCCTAGAACAGTCATCACACTCTACATCCTACATACCCAGAGTGACCTATCCTGGCTGGGAACTGCAGCTCCCAGCAATGACCACAAACAGGCTGGAGTACTAGGTCAGGATTATTATTTTCTGCCAGGCCAGGTTTTGTGACTATTCTGGAAAGCCTAGAACTGCCATCACACTCTACATCATATATATACTCATTGTAACCTGTCCTTGTTGGGGAACTACAACTCTCAGCAGTGACCAGGGGAGCAAATCCATCAGCCAGCTGGAGGTCTAACATCTGGCATTAAGTCAGGCTTGGGACTTATGACTATCACAGCCTAGAACAGTCATCACATCATACATATCCAGAATGTTGGGGAACTACAACTCCTAGCAATGACCAGGGGAGAAAAATCCACCGAATAGGCTGGTGTTAGGTCAGGATTAATATTTGCTGTCTGTACAGGTCTTGTGACCACACCAGAAAGCCTAGAACTGCCATTACTCTCTACACCATATATACCCACTGTAACCTGTCCTGGTTGGGAACTACCAACTCCCAGCAATGATTGGGGGTAAAATCTATCAACAGGCTGATGCTATGCCAGGATAAGTATCTGCTGCCAGGGCAAGTCAAGTGACCACACCAAATAATATACCACATCACATATACCCATAGTAACCTGTCCTTGGGGAACTAGAGCTCCCAGCTATAACCAGGGAACCAAATCCATCAGCCAGCTGGAGGTCTAACATCTGGCATTGTGTCAGGCTTGGGTCTTCTGGCTATTCGAGAACTCCTAGAACAGTCATCACACTCTACATCATGTATACCCATTGTAACCTGTCCTGGTTGGGGAACGACAATTCCCAGCAATGATTGGGGGTAAAATCCACTGACAGGCTGCTACTATGTCAGGATTAGTATTTGCTGCCAGGACAGGTGTGTTCACACCAGAAAGCCTAGAACAATCATACACCTATAGTAATGTCCTTGTTGGGCAACTACAACCTCCAGCAATGATTGGGGATTAAATTCACCAACAAGCATGGTGCCATGATTAGTATCCATTGTCAGGACAGGTCATTTTGTCCACACCAGATCCAGGGCATCAAATCCATCTGCAAGCTGGAGGTCTAACATCTGGTGTATATGTTGGGCTCAGGTCTTGTGACTATTCCAGAAAGCCTAAAACGGTCATCACTCTCTACATAACATATGCCCATAGTAACCTGTCCTTGTTGTGGAACTACAACTCCCAACAATGATCAGGGGAGCAAATCCATCAGCAAGCTGGAAGTCTAACATCTGGCTTTATGCCATGCTTAGTATTTCCAGGCTGAGCAGGTCTTATGACCATTCCAGTGTGTAGTTGTCACACTACATCATATACAGTGGGGCAAAAAAGTATTTAGTCAGCCACCAATTGTGCAAGTTCTCCCACTTAAATAGATGAGAGAGGCCTGTAATTGGCATCATAGGTAGACCTCAACTATGAGAGACAAAATAGAAAAAAATCCAGACAATCACATTGGCTGATTTGGAAAGAATTTATTTGCAAATTATGGTGGAAAATAAGTTTTTGGTCAATATGAAAAGTTCATCTCAATACTTTGTTATAGATCGTTTGTTGGCAATGACAGAGGTCAAACGTTTCCTGTAAGTCTTCACAAGGTTGGCACACACTGTTGCTGATATGTTGGCCCATTCCTCGATGCAGATCTCCTCTAGAGCAGTGATGTTTTGGGGCTGTCGCTGGGCAACACGGACTTTCAACTCCTTCCAAAGGTTTTCTATGGGGTTGAATCTACACCCTTTTGGCAGATAGAAGGAGCACTCCAGGACCTTGAAATGCTTCTTACGAAGCCACTCCTTCGTTGCCCGGGTGGTATGTTTGAGATCATTGTCATGTTGGAAGACCCAGCCACGTTTTATCTTCAATGCCCTTGCTGATGGAAGGAGGTTTGCACTCAAAATCTCACGATACATGGCCCCATTCATTCTGTCCTGTACATGGATCAGTCGTCCTGGTCCCTTTGTGGAGAAGCAGCCCCAAAGCATGATGTTGCAACCCCCATGCTTCACAGTAGATATGGTGTTCTTTGGATGCAACTCAGCATTCTCTCCTCCAAACACGACAAGTGTGTTTCTACCAAACAGTTCTATTTTGGTTTCATCTGACCATATGACATTCTCCCAATCCTCTTCTGGATCATCCAAATGCTCTCTAGCAAACTTCAGACGGGCCCGGACATGTACTGGCTTAAGCAGGGGGACACGTCTGGCACTGCAGGATCTGAGTCCCTGGAGGCATAGTGTGTTACTGATGGTAGCCTTTGTTACGTTGGTCCCAGCTCTCTGCAGGTCATTCACTAGGTCCCCCCGTGTGGTCCTGGGATTTTTGGTCACCGTTCTTGTGATCATTTTTACCCCATGGGATTAGATCTTGCGTGGAGCCCCAGATTGAGGGAGATTATCAGTGGTCTTGTATGTCTTCCATTTTCTAATTATTGCTCCCCCAGTTGATTTGTTCACACCAAGCTGCTTGCCTATTGCAGATTCAGTCTTCCCAGCCTGGTGCAGGTCTACAATTTTGTTTCTGGTGTCCTTCAACAGCTCTTTGGTCTTCACCATAGTGGAGTTTGGAGTGTGACTGTTTGAGGTTGTGGACAGGTGTCTTTTATACTGATAACAAGTTCAAACAGGTGCCACTGATACAGGTAATGAGTGCAGGACAGAAAGCCTCTTAAAGAAGAAGGTACAGGTCTGTGAGAGCCAGAAATCTTGCTTGTTTGTAGGTGACCAAATACTTATTTTCCACCATAATTTACAAATAAATTCTTTCCAAATCAGCCAATGTGATTGGATTTTTTTTCTCATTTTGTCTCTCATAGTTGAGGTCTACCTATGATGCCAATTACGGGCCTCTCTCATCTTTTTAAGTGGGGGAACTTGCACAATTGGTGGCTGACTAAATACTTTTTTTCCCCACTGTATGCCCATGGTAACCTGTCCTTGTTGGGGAACTATAACTCCCATCAGTGATTGGGGACTAAATCCACGAACAGGCTGGTGCTAGGTCAGGATTAGAATCTGCTGCCAGGACAGGTCTTGTGACCACGCCAGAAAGGATAGATCAGTCATCACACTATATGCAGATTTCACTTGCAGAGTCCTCATTTTTCATGTGTGCTTTAATGAGTTTTATGCACGTTGCAGATTTCTGCACAGAAACAAATCTGCACATGAGACAATGTAGTGGTGTGAACAGGGCACATAGAGAACAATGGATTTTGTTGTGCCCTTACAGAATGCAGGCAGAAAAACTGACATCTCTGCAGCATGGTGTGAACAAGGCTTAAAGCAGTCATCACACTCTACATCATATGCCCATAGTAACCTGACCTTGTTGGGGAACTACAACTTCCAGCAATAATTGGGGATACATCCAAAAACAGGCTGGTGCTATGCCAGGATTAGAATCTGCTGCCAGGACAGGTCTTGTGTCCACACCAGAAAGCCCAGAACGGTCATCACTCTACATCCTATATATCAATAGTAGCCTCTGTTTTGGAACTGCAACTCCCAGCAATCAAGGATTAAATCAACCAACAGGCTGATTAGAATCTGTTACCAGGGCAGGTGTTGTGTCTAAACCAGAAAGCCTACAACAGTCATCACTTGCTACATATTATATGTTATAGTTGTCTGTCGTGGAACTACAACTCTCAGCAATGACCAGAGGTTAAATCCATCAGCAAGCAGGGGTCAAGTGTCTGGCATTATATCATTCTTAGTATTTCCAGGCTGGGCAGGTCTTGTGACTATTCCAGAGAGCCTAGAACAATCATCACATTTTACATTTTAGATGCCCATAGTGACCTGTCCTTGTTGGGAAACTGCAATTCCCAGCAATGACCAGGGATAAAATCCACCATCAGGTTGGTGCTATGTTAGCATTAGTATCTGCTGGTGGTGCTGCTGGAACAGGTCTTGTGTCCACACCAAAAAGCTTAGATCAGTCATCACACATCATATATGCCCATAATAACCTGCCCTTGTTGTGAAACTACACCTCCCAGCAATTGGCAAGGCATCAAATCTATCAAATACAAAACAAGGAGGGTGTAGTGAGCACTTGGAGGTGAGGAAGCTGCTAGCACTAAGAAGGTGACCAACCCAATAGAGAATAAATAAAATTTGCAGCACTAAAAAAACACTAAAAATGAAACCAATTCCTGATGGCAAAATTCATGTGAAGTGTAATTCATAATAACCATATGGCATTAAATATTAATAATGCTACATATGACAAACAACAAAGTGAAAGTGCAATGTATCAAATAGGTCACATGAAAGAAACAAAGTCCAATTACTTTTTAAACGTATAAACCAGGGACATCAATCCGGTAGTGACACCTCTTCTGTGATACCTTCACCTCGATGCACTCACCAGAAATCTGGTCCCCCCCCCCCCCCCATGGTATTACAATCTGTGACAGCCTCCATCATTCCTTTGTCTTGATGGATTCATTCAGAAGTTACCAGGACACACCTTAATAGAAAAGCTCACCACATGGAGCCCGAAGAAAAGTGCATAGTGTAGTATTTTATTCAAAATATCAATAAAAATCCACGTGGAATACATGAAAATAAGCGGCCGACCTTACATGAATGGCCGCCAGACCATGCACAGATTCAGCGACGTGACGTCAGCACGTAGGTTGCTCCCTGATGCGTTTCGTACACAGGCACATTCTCAAAGGGACCTGCCTCAGGAAACTATTTATTTGATACTTTGCACTTTCACTTTTTTGTGTTTATTGATATATGTAGCATTATTAATATTTTAATGCCATGTCGTTTTATAATGGTTATTATTAATTACACTATTCACATGAATTTTGCAATCAGGAATTATTTTCATTTTTAGTGTTTTTTTTTTAGCACTGCACATTCTGTTATTTATTATCACATCTGTCAAGTCCAACGTCTGGCATATGTCAGGTTCAGTATCCCCTGGGTGGTCAAATCTTGTGACCATTCCAGGAAGCCTAGAACAGTCATCACACTAGAAAGCAATTTTGCTTGTTCTGCAGCTCGTCCAGTCAGGAAACATCTTGCATTCTTATTACAGAACACACAATACAGTCTGTGACTGGAGGAAGTACAGATGAATATCATGTTCTTCCTTCCTCGAGTCACAGAACACCTTTCATTCTGTAAAAGGAATGCAAAACGTTCTCCCAATGGATTAGCATCAGAGCGAGGAACCCACCACCAGAGCTGTGTAAGGCAGGTCAGTGAAATCCAAAAGTTCTGTCGAGCAAAAAAAAAAAAAATAGCTCATACGATTGTGGCATCAATTGTTTAGTTTTCCTAATAAAAATCCATTTTGTTGGATCAGGCACTTTCAATTGCAGCACAAAAATCGCATGTCACAGCTGTCACACTAATGATGTGAAAATCAAAAGATTTGAAATTTTCATTTGTTTTTTGCATCGTCTATGGCCTGCTTAAATCTTAGCGCTGGACACTCTGGGCTTACTATACTGTACAGGATGAATAAAAATAAACATTTTACAGAATGCTGCAGAATACACACGTCATTAGTGCTAACATATTTTTAGAGTGCATATGTCTGAAAATATTGGGTTGGTCAGAGTTCTGCTTTAAGCTTGATAAAAGCTTGTTTTAAAGCCACTGCTTGCGTTCATATTTAGATCAGTGACCATTACTCCAAGACTGGAGCTGAAGGATGGCTTAAAGCAGTGGTTCTCAACCTTTCTAATGCCGCGACCCCTTAATACAGTTCCTCATGTTGTGGTGACCCCCAACCATAAAATTATTTTCGTTGCTACTTCATAACTGTAATTTTGCAGTGGGAGGAGTAGTGCCACGTCATTGGTGTCAGTGGAAGGAATAGTGTCCCATCACTGATGTCAATGGGAGGAATAGTACCCCATCATTGGTATCAGTGGTAGGAATAGTGCCCCATCATTGGTGTCAGTGGTAGGAATAGTGCCCCATCATTGGTGTCAGTGGTAGGAATAGTGCCCCATCATTGGTGTCAGTGGGAGGAATAGTGCCCCATCATTGGTGTCAGTGGGAGGAATAGTGCCCCATCATAGGTATCAGTGGGAGGAATAGTGCCCCATCATAGGTGTCAGTGGGAGGAATAGTGCCCCATCATTGGTGTCAGTGGGGAGGAATAGTGCCCCATCATAGGTGTCAGTGGGAGGAATAGTGCCCCATCATAGGTGTCAGTGGGAGGAATAGTGCCCCATCATTGGTGTCAGTGGGAGGAATAGTGCCCCATCATTGGTGTCAGTGGGAGGAATAGTGCCCCATCATTGGTGTCAGTGGGAGGAATAGTGCCCCATCATTGGTGTCAGTGGGGGGAATAGTGCCCCATCATTGGTGTCAGTGGGGGGAATAGTGCCCCATCATTGGTGTCAGTGGGAGGAATAGTGCCCCATCATAGGTGTCAGTGGGGGGAATAGTGCCCCATCATTGGTGTCAGTGGGAGGAATAGTGCCCCATCATTGGTGTCAGTGGGGGAATAGTGCCCCATCATTGGTGTCAGTGGGAGGAATAGTGCCCCATCACTGGTGTCAGTGGGAGGAATAGTGTCCCCATCATGGTGTCAGTGGGAGGAATAGTGTCCCTATCACTGGTATCAGTGGGAGGAATAGTGCCCCAACACTGGTATCAGTGGGAGGAATAGTGCCCCATCATTGGTATCAGTGGGAGGAATAGTGCCCCATCATTGGTGTCAGTGGGAGGAATAGTGCCCCATCATTGGTGTCAGTGGGAGGAATAGTGCCCCATCATAGGTGTCAGTGGGGGGGGAATAGTGCCCCATCATTGGTGTCAGTGGGAGGAATAGTGCCCCATCATAGGTGTCAGTGGGGGGAATAGTGCCCCATCATTGGTGTCAGTGGGAGTAATAGTGCCCCATCATTGGTGTCAGTGGGGGGAATAGTGCCCCATCATTGGTGTCAGTGGGAGTAATAGTGCCCCATCACTGGTGTCAGTGGGAGGAATAGTGCCCCATCACTGGTGTCAGTGGGAGGAATAGTGTCCCATCACTGATGTCAGTGGGAGGAAAAGTGCCCCATCATTGGTATCAGTGGGAGGAAAAGTGCCCCATCATTGGTGGTGTCAGTGGGAGGAAAAGTGCCCCATCATTGGTATCAGTGGGAGGAATAGTGCCCCATCATTGGTATCAGTGGGAGGAATAGTGCCCCATCATTGGTATCAGTGGGAGGAATAGTGCCCCCATCATTGGTGTCAGTGGGAGAAATAGTGCCCCAACATTGGAGTCAGTGGGAGGAATAGTGCCCCATCGTTGGTATCAGTGGGAGGAATAGTGCCCCATCGTTGGTGTCAGTGGGAGGAATAGTGCCCCATCGTTGGTGTCAGTGGGAGGAATAGTGCCCCATCATTGGTATCAGTGGGAGGAATAGTGTCCCATCGTTGGTATCAGTGGGAGGAATAGTGTCCCATCGTTGGTATCAGTGGGAGGAATAGTGCCCCATCGTTGGTGTCAGTGGGGGGAGGAATAGTGCCCCATCGTTGGTGTCAGTGGGGGGGAGGAATAGTGCCCCATCGTTGGTGTCAGTGGGGGGGGAGGAATAGTGCCCCATCGTTGGTGTCAGTGGGGGGAGGAATAGTGCCCTATCGTTGGTGTCAGTGGGGGGAGGAATAGTGCCCCATCTTTGGTGTTAGTGGGGGGAGGAATAGTGCCCCATCGTTGGTGTCAGTGGGGGGAGGAATAGTGCCCCATCATTGGTATTAGTGACACCAATGATGGGGCACTATTCCTCCCACTGACACCAATGATACTTACCTTGCTGACCCCTGCTCCAGCCTGGGCTCGCTCGCTCCCTCCCTCTCCCATGGTACAGACACTTACCGGTCAGATGTCTTCCTTCTCCGGCCGCTCTCCTCCTCTTCACTCGCTCGATCTTCGCGGTGCCGCTGGGCTCCTCCTCTCCAAGCTCCACCTCCTCGCCGGTGATTGGCCGCCTGTGTGCCTCTCCTGAGCTACAGTTCCGGCGGCCAATCACCGGCGAAGGATTGATCCCGGGGCTGTGTCCAGATGACAGGGACGGCATGTCATCCCGCCCACACCTGGAGACGGATAGAGGAGCGGTGTCTCGGTTCCTAAGGCCATCGGAAATATGTGTTTTCCGATGGTCTTAGGCGACCCCTGTGAAAGCGTCGTTCGACCCCCAAAGGGGTCACGACCCCCAGGTTGAGAGCCGCTGACTTAAAGGGTTCAAGAAAGCTGTTCAAAGGTGTTAAATGCGATGTAAGTGCTTGTTAGGACTGATATTCCTGAGAATAGTGTTTAGAAGCTAAATACACATATTCAAGACAGCATCGGGCTTTGATATACATTGTAGATAGTTATACAAGATTATTTATCCTATGTCTGTTTTTTGTATCTGTTTAGGATAGCGCAGAGTGCTCTGTGTCTCTTACAAAACAAAGAACTGGATCTGTTGGGGATCGTCCTCCTCGCCCTACATTGCTGGAACAAGTGTTAAACCAGAAAAGACTTGTAAGTTTTGCAGTGGTTAATTCTGGGGATTATTGAAATGTTTATGGGTTAAATTGGCACACTTTGGGTTCAGTCACCCAGCATCAAGTGCTTTGAACTCATATCTAGCCACCTGTCATGGTTATTGCAAGGTTGTCTAGGCTGGCTTAGCACATACATACACTATATTGCCAAAAGTATTGGGTCGTCTGCCTTTAAACGCACATGAACTTTAATGGCATCCCAGTCTTAGTCCGTAGGGTTCAATATTGAGTTGGCCCACCCTTTGCAGCTATAACAGCTTCAACTCTTCTGGGAAGGCTGTCCACAAAGTTTAGAGTGTCTATGGGATTATTTGACCATTCTTTCAGAAGCGCATTTGTGAGCTCAGGCACTGATGTCAGACAAGAAGGCCAGTCTCCGCTTCAATTCATCCTAAAGGTGTTCAATTGGGTTGAGGTCAGGCCAGACTCTGTGCAGGCCAGTTAAGTTCCTCCACCCCAAAATCGCTTATCCATATCTTTATGGACATTGCTTAGTGCTCTTCTGCGTAGTTATGTTGGAACAGGAAGGGGCCATCCCCAAATTGTTCCCACGAAGTTGGGAGCATGAAATTGTCCAAAATGTCTTGGGATGCTGATGCCCTAAGAGTTCCCTTCACTGGAACTAAGGGGCCAAGCCCAACCATTGTAAAACAACCCCACACCATAATCCCCCCTCCACCATACTTTACACTTGGCACAATTTAGTCAGGTAAGTACCGTTCTGGCAACCACCAAACCCAGATACGTCCATCAGATTGCCAGACAGAGAAGTGTGATTCATCACTCCAGAGAACACGTCTTCACTGCTCTAGAATCCAGTGGCGGCCTGCTTTACACCACTGCATCTGACGCTCTGAGTCTGCAGATAGTTGGCGACTTCTGTGCACTGTGTGCTTCAGTATGTGCTGACCCCGCTCTATCATTTTACTTGGCCTACCACTTCATGGCTGAGTTTCTGTTGTTCCCAGTTGCTTCCATGTTGTTATAATACCACTAACAGTTGACCGTGGAATATTTAGTAGCAAGGAAATGTCATGGATGGACTTATTGCACAGGTGGCAACCTATCACGGTACCACGCTTGAATTCACTGAGCTCCTGAGAGCGACCCATTCTTTCACAAATGTTTGTAGAAGCAGTCTGCATGCCTAGGTGCTTGATTTTATACACCTGTGGCCATGAAGGTGATTGGAACACCTGAATCCAGTGATTTGGAGGGCTGGCCCAATACTTTTGGCAATATAGTGTATGTTGTGTTCAGGTGCACAGTTTAGCTGTGTTACTGCAATGCACAAACCAGGGTCTGATGCAGTGCTGTGGAAATCAATGGATCCCTGACACCCTGAACAAGAAAACCTACAGTAAACCTTTGTTGCAATGCCCCACAACACATGCTAGCTCACTGCCTTGTGTTGTGGTGCACTGCATCCGCTAAAATGGGGCAGGTGTGATATTTGGTCTCTTGTGTGAGCTGGCAGCCCATTCAGATGAACAATGCACATAATGCTATGGAATGCAGAGGTATGAAGGGGGCCTTACTGTTCATACTTATCTCACAGCCCCGCCCCCTTTCTCTGCTCAAAAGATTTGATTGACAGCAGCAGGAGCTACTAGCTTCTGCTACTCTTGAGCCTCCTGTGAGAAGAGGGGAGAGAAGAGCAGTGCTGCTGCAGATGGGTTCATCGCTGGATCTAGACCATGCTCAGGTAAGTATTTTAGGTTCTTGGGAGAGCCGACAAGGAAATATTTTTTTAACTTTAAAGTGGTAGTAAACTTGTTGGAATAAAAAGTTTCCTGCTGCGAAGGAATATCATAATGTGCTAGTATGCATTATATACAACTCAATATGAAAGACTTGCCTTAGAACGAAGCCCTCCAGCAGTGTGGTGTCACCGCTGACAGGGCTTCCATTTTTACCCGCATGCGTGCGGAAGTCTTGCCCATGACACACAGCTCTGAAGGAAGAGCACAGGTTTGCTGTTCCTGCAGAGCACATGCGCCAGTGATGTCACCGATATGCAGACCTGATTTTGACTGGAGTGGTTGTAAAGGTAAAAAGTTAGTTTTTTTTTTTCAGTGATTTTTTTTACAGAATAGTTTCAACAATAATACAGTGTTCATGTATAACAAAGCTCACATATCACCCTAAAAGTGTTTCTCTGCATTAAAGGTGTAGTAAACTCTTGTTTTATATTTTTACATGCAGGCAAGCTTATAATAAAGCGTTTTAACCACGCGTGTGCACCCCCGGGGGCGCGCAGCGTGGCGATCGGTAGTGCGCTGTGTCCTGGGACACAGCCAATTACTGATCAATGGAAAGAGCCGATGACATCACTGTCATGTGATCAGCTGCGTCCAATCACAGCTGATCGCCTGTAAATAAGGAAATGCCGGTTATCGGCATTCCTCTCCTCACGAGCTGTCACGCTGAGAGTCGGTAATCAGCATTACTCAGATGGGACATGTACACTGATCATCAGGGCACTGCCACATATCAGTGCCCATCTGAGCCGCCTGTCAGTGCTGCCTAACAGTGTCAGTCAGTGCTGCCTATCAGTACCACCTATCAGTGCTATGAGTGCTGCCTTTCAGTGCCCATCAGTGATGCCTGTCAATGCCCATCAGTACTACCTATCAGTGCCCATAACTGCAGCCTCATTAGCGCACATCAGTGAAGGAGAAAAATCACTTATTTACAAAATTTTATAACAGAAACTAAGAAAAAAGTTTTTTTTCAAAGTTTTCAGTTGTTTTTGGTAGGTTTAGCAAAAAATTTAAAAACCAGAGGTGATTAAATACCACCAAAAGAAAGCTCTATCTCACAAAATGATAAAAATTTCATATGAGTACAGTGTTGCATGACCGCGCAATTCAAAGTGTGACAACACTGAAAGCTGAAAATTGGCCTGGGGAGGAAGGCGGTATAAGTGCCTGGAAGGCAAGTGGTTAAAGAAGAAAACCTTTTAGGGTGATATGTGAGCTTTGTTATACATGAACCCTGTATTATTGTTGAAAAACTATTGTGTAAAAATCATTGAAAAGAAAACAAGACTGTTTTACCTTTACAACCACTCCAGTCAAACTCAGGTCTGCACACTTATTTCAAGCTTTTGGCTCCTTATGGTTTAACATGACAGCCAGGCAACTATCATTACTAAAAGGAGAATTCAGTGAAGGCAGCTTGTATATGTATTTATTTAAAATATATATACTTTAATTAAAGCAGTGCAAGTACCCAGATTTAACTTGGTATCAGCTGACTGCAGTTTTTGTAGCACAGCTAAGAGTAAAGCAGAACAATGAGTTAATTGGTTCCTGTGCTCACAAGAAGCATGCTGACTGGAGGAGAAAGCAGAGTGAAAGGAGCTAAGCACTGTGCTGCTGCTACTTCACTGTCCAATCACAGGCTGGAGATGGGTCTATGACAACCTAGGCTTAGAGAAAGTGTGTTGAGTGACTTTGACCATCATTCAGTCCTGAATAATGAGGGCATCTAGTGGTGAAAAAGTGCTGCTATTTTATCTTTTAGTAGAACTGATTTCTGATTTAACTCTAATGATTTCTGTGCCGATGATACCATTAATAACAAATTTTGATGATTTTGCCACCAGTCCCTTTTAAGAAGTCCAGACGTTGTCAAGTTTCTTCAGACCCAGCAGCAGCTTCTCAGTCGACAGGCTGTTGAACAGAGACAGTCTTTTCAAGGAGCATCACTTTGACCAAATGTCTGCATGTGATGGACTATAAGGGCTTTATTTTGACTGTTTCTGTTTATTTATTACATTACAAACTTTTACATTTTCACTATTTCTATGAGAGTCCTGAAGTACATGGAAGATGTGGGAAGACTTTGGAATCCTCTGTCATAAAAGGATTGTGTCTTTCATTATATGGATCTTTTCTGCTTTGGAGCTAAAGCTGGCAGTAATACAGAAATGTAAATACTTTGGAGCCCATGCCTTATTGTGATTGGGGTGGAAATGGGTTCAAGCCAGGCATCCGTAACTGGTTTACATTTCTTCTGATGTTATGCACTTCAGCAGTGCAGTGACTGATCTTGTGCAGAATGATTTAATCTATAGCAGCCAATTAGATTTCACTTTACTGAAATCAGATAGTTGAAATACTAAGGCCCCTTTCACTGTGATTTTGTCAGCAGGTGATCTGTCCTCTGATCAGAGTGGGGGGATGACAGGTCTGTGTTTGCTCAGTTTATGCAGAGCGCACACAGACCAAGCCCGCTGTGCTCTATGGACCGGCGGGTGTAAACGGACTACGCTGTGCATTTACACCTGACTGCTCTCTGACCTGATTCACCTATATGGAGGGGACATACTGATTCCCCTTCCATTTAGTTTTTATTTTTTTTGCAGACAAGATTGGATTGGAGGTAGGCAGGTGTAAACTGACACAGGTCTGTTTACACTTGCCGGTCCATAGTAGTGAATAGAGGGATCTGGTCAGATTTTGCCTAAAAAAAAAAAAAAAAACTGACAGGTGGACCTGATCTGACCCTTCGTGTGAAAGGGCCGAAATCTGGTTGTCTTAGGTTAGTGCAATTCGCATAATTGAATATGCCTGTGTGGTGTTTTGTGTTTATTTTTTTTTTATCTGAATTCTAGGTATGATTTTTATAGTATAGTTACACTGGACCAATGTACAAATGTATATCTCATGCCTGACTGATACCTGTGTAAGCTGCATATCACTGTAATATCACTAAAGTGATGTCAGCAGTCTTCTGGATCCAGGACTGAGCTGGTGTCCTTCTACAGAGTAACCCCAGGGGGGTGATCGCTTGGGATTGCTGCCATTCAGGGAAAGCCTTGTATATTTTTCAATGAACACAAGGTGTTGTGTGGGACAGTGAAGTCAAAATTACTACCTAGTCTAATCGAAGAATGTCTGGTGTTCATTGAAGAAATACATTTCTCTGAATGGTGGCAGTGCTGAGTGTGTGACCCCCCCCCCCCCCACACACACACACACACACACACACACTCTCTCTCTCTCTCGCTCTTTCTCTCTCTCTCTCCCCCCTCTCTCTCTCCCCCCCTTGTAGTTACTATGCAGAAGGGCAGCAACTCGGCACAAGACCTGGAAGATTGCTACTATCACTGTAGTGGCGGTGACTACTAGGGAAGCACCAATACCGAGTATTTTCACGAGTGCTCATGACGGTGCTGACCAATCAGAAGCCGGTGACTACTAGGGAACAACCAATACCGAGTATTTTCACGAGTACTCATGACGGTGCTGACCAATTAGAAGCCGTCTAGTTCGTACTGTCATCCCTGCAAAGAGAGGAGAGCCATGGGGATTTCAAATCCCCACACCTGTGAAGCAGCTTTCTTTCCCCTCCTTGCAGGGATGCCCATACTGGCTAGACTGCTTTTGATTGATCGGCACCGTCATGGTGCTGACTGATCAGAAAAACCGTTTAGCCTGTACTGTCATCCCTGTACTGAGAGGAGAGAAAGCTGTGAGGATTTGAAATCCCAGCTTTTCCCTCTGTGACAGCATGGGATCCATGCAGGGAGGTTTCCTGCACCGCTCCTGTGTGAACTCAAGCTATGATAAGCCTGGGTTCTCACAGGTGCGGGGGGAAACCACATGCAATTTGGACAAGAATCGCAGTGCATTCCAATTCAAATCACATGCTATTCATTGCGGTGCAATTTGCTTCCATACTGTTTGTATTGATGCAAATAATCGCACCGCAAAGTATCAGCACTAGGTATTGGCGAGTACTTGACCGATCAAAAAAAGGTATTGGTGCATCCCTAGTGACTGCTACAGTGATTGCAGCTTACACAGGTAAGTCCAGTTTGCGATATGTATATTGGTCCCAGCTGGAACAACGTAAATATGCTATAAAACTCTCACCTAGAATTCAGGTTTAAGCGTTGCAATGTTTGCTACTTGTAAGTGGTCCCTGAGCTAAACCTATGATATTTAGTGTTGTGTGTTTTTTGTTTTTTTTCATAAGCAGAGCTTAAGGCTGCATTCACACCTGAGAATTTTGCGATTGTTAATGGTGCCCCAAACGTGGCAAACTGTTGCGTGTTTTTGCACATGTAAAGCCCAATGCCCAAAAAGGTAAATGAGCTACTTTGACACGTTTGTGTGTAGGCAGCCCATTGAAATGAAGAAAACACGCACAAAACACAGGTGTGAATCTAGCTTTAAAATGTATGTAAAGCCAAAACTGTTTAGGGTTAGGATGTAGAAGGGTGGGAACCTCTATCTGGTTTTTATTAGTGATGCACTGAAATGAAAATTCTGGGCCGAAACCGAACATTCAGGATGTACTTGGCCGAAAACTGAAACCGAAATGGACTGTCTCTTAAAAATATGTTTTGGGGTTTTTTTTACATATAATTGTATTTGACTTTTTAATTAATATCATGAATATGAATGTAAAAAATACAAACCAGTAACGTAAACTAGTACTTCTTATAGAAAGTAACACAAAAATTGGACGGAAAATAAAATATATATAAAGTTAAAAAACTTAGAGGCGTTTTATGCATTGAAGTCAATAGGGGGTGTTTTTGCATTGAAGTCAATGGAGCGCGATTTTGCATTGAAGTTAATTGGTTGTCATTTTGCATTGAAGTCAATGGGACGCAGTTTTGCATTGAAGTCATTTATCATTATTGGCATCTTTTTTTTCTTTTTTTTTTTTCTATTGGCAAAAGGCTGATAACCCTATTTTTGTCTGATAATTTTTGGTAGCCGATATATCGGTGCATCACTAGTTTTTATTGCGGTCTGAGTCTCTGTTGAGAAGATTCACTCTATTAGTCCTGGTGTCAATTGTCTTGGGATCTCTTGTCAACCAAACCTGTAAGGTGAATTGAAATGGACTGGACTAGGCTGTTTTGAACATGAACAGCCAGATTGATCAGATGTTCTCTGAGGTCTGTCAGCATCTTTGGCTTTGGCTAGTAGGCACTGCCTGTTCTGACTGCTTAAAAAAATAGTTTTGATCAAATCCTAAAAATAAAACCCTACATACCTAAAATGTATTCCCTTACAGTGCATTTATTTTGGACTGAAATTGCACTGGATCACACAAAAAGTAGTGCATGCACTACTTTTCAAAAACGCACTGCACCAAATCGCATGGTACTGCAGTACCATGTGATCTGGTGCCCAGAAAACACACTGTGTTTGGAACCCGTGTTTAATTTGCCTTTACAATTTGCCTTTGACACCCGTAGCAGATCGCAAAGGCAGTGCGTTTTTATGCGGTGCGGGAAAAAGTGCATGGAATGCACCTTTCCCACACAGTGTTCTGGTGTGACCCAGCCCTTACTATAATAGATTACACAAAGCCATCACCTTGTTATTCTCCTGATGCTGTACATTGTTGTGAGTGAAGTGTTGTTTGTTACTGTTAAAGTATTTATGTGATTGGTATTATGTGTTGAAGCATTGCTGTATATTCACTTATGTCATTTTCTGCAACTGATTCACTTGAGACCAAATAACAATGTTATGGAAGATCGTGGAAACTGACAGGGGCCCATGACATTACGTCTAATGCAGTTTTGACATTTTGTGATAATTGTACAGTTTGTATGTATTTTGTACATTTTATATGTTTTCTACATTAAATACAGTGCCACACTAGACTATTTTATTTTAATACCAATATAAGTAGGGAAGAAAAAGCACACATTTGTTGTGCATGAATTAAAAATGGATGAGTAATCTTTGGCAGATTAGATCTGTTCTATGGACTAGTGCCCTATTTGTGTGATCATTATAGGTTTCATAACCCCAAAGCTTACTACATGTACACATGTGCTTCAGATTGTATAAGAGCAGTGTGCACAGCAAGCTTCTATAAGATATCTGAAGAGCTTTCAGCAAGCTTTAACCACTTCTCTATTGCCATATGCCTATAAATGGTGGTGTGGTGACCACCATGTTCTGGATTGCTGTTGTTTTGGGTTTTTTTTTTTGCATGTACCAAAAGGGGTTGATTTTCTAAAACTGGGGAGTGCAAAACTGGTGCAGAACCCAATCAGCTTCTAGGTTTTTCTTTTTTGTCAAAGCTTAATTGAACAAGCTGAAGTTAGAAGCTGATTGGCTACCATGCACATACAGTGTTACGTGACTGAATAATTGTAAGGCAAACCATCACAGCACTCAAAAATGGCCAAGTTATGAAGGGGTATATACAGGCTAGTACTCAAGTGGTTAAATACCTTTTAAAGACCCCCCCTTTGCAGTTCAGGAGTGCAAGAATGCTGTGTGTATAGATTGTAGTGCTCTTGTGTAGCTTCTGGGTGTTTTGAAGCTGTGATTGTTAGTTATACTTTCCCTAACCACAAAAATGCAAGAAGCTTGTTTTATAATAATCAAATATGGCACAACTCTGCAGCATCCAACCATGACAGACTGTAGAGGGGAACCAACTCCTTACAATTTAAGAAGCACAGGTCTCAGCTGCTTACATTTGTAAGTATACTGTATGTAAACCATACATTAGGCCAGCCAAGGTTGTTCTTGAAAATAGTGTGTATTTGTAGGCAACACTTCCACCAGATCCCACCAGGCCCTTTGTTCCTAGAATGACCTCCCTATATAACCTATGCAAGTTGTTCAGGAGAATGACCTGAAGGAGTTAAGGAAGGGGTAGAAAAAGGAAATCGAAACTGGACCATCACACACAGTAAGTTTTAGCCTTCGCCATCTTATCCTGATG